TCTTGAGTAGCGTGAACTGATCGTGAACTCCGATTTGACCATGTTATATCGAGGTGGAATTGATTTTGAAATAATTTTAGCTTTCAAACTAAAGACTGTCTATCGCAGAAAGTATTTACTTACAAACAAAGAGGTGCTAATTCCACAAATTTGACTAGCCGCTACGCATCGTGCGACTAGGTCTATTGTTTATAAATTATAATCCACGACTGGCAGGATGCGTGTCGGTCGGTATGTAATTATACCAAGAGACAATAGTCCTCGTCGGAAGCATTTCCGTGGTGGTCACTAATTTTGAGTGACGGTCGGGGCCGACCGGCATGGCGAACAAAGCTTTTTCACATCTGATATTGGCATGTCAAATACGAAATCAAGCGCCGAGGTGGGAACACATAGCGCCGAGGTCCCAAGTGAAGCGCCGAGATTCACAGGTATAGCGCCGCGGACCTCGGCGCTAAAAAGCCCTGGGGAGAACCCTGATGACACCAAAATGTCACAGTGTAAGGCCTGCTTATCGCAATTGAGAGGGCCACCCACAGGACTCGCACCGGGACAGGGGGTTCTTTCACTGCTAGTATGGGTTAGACAAGACAATAGTACTGGAAATTAAATACACATACACCAAAATATCGAGTTAAAGCTCCTGACTTTAATACGTCTCAAAATAATTACAAGAAATAAAGCACAGAAAAAATACAATGAATAAAGTCATTTAAATAGGGGATTGCTTAGGGAATAACTCGCATTGGTGATAACTCACAGTTTCAGGATATATTAATGGACGACAGTCGATGGCTTCTGCAACACAACAAGGAAGAAATACAGGAGTCTTGCTTGCAGAGGAAAGCTGTTATTCTGGAGTGCACCGCTGGAAGCAGGAGATGGCAGAGCAGTTCATACAAGTCTCACAGAATGATGGTTGTAGCCTGTATCACTTGACACACAATATCGTAGCAGGACACCGGATACATAGTAGAAATGATGAACCCAACTGTCCTCAATCTGCCCAATTTATAAGCATGATTCAGTGTCACCACCTGGTTTTCCACATGAGCCAATCAGAATGTGATCTTGCTAGCAATCCTTTGTAATTCAATTAACAGCACATCTAGTATTCCAATTCTCCTTCCAAAGTTGTAAACACCCTTTGTTATGTAAATTACAAGCACACCTGGGAGAACCCACTGTCCTTTCAGAGTTAGAAACAAGTATGACCTGTAAATCACCTACATGACAGTGACATAAAAAATGCATCACCCCGCAATGCAAACCAGTTTCTTCCCATGATTCCATGCACACTTCCATTTGCAAGGTTTGAGATAATACAACAAAATCATAAAACAAGCAGCCTGTCGGCTGAGATAGCTCCGCTGTTAGCAATGCACATGGCAATTAAAGAACAGAAGTTATCATTAGAAAATGAACAAATCTGAGAGAGGTCCACATGTAGTACCTATATGTATAATATATCAAAGCAATTGGACTTGCGGTTTTCAACAAGAAGTCGAAAATATCACTTTTTACCAAAAATTACAAAAATATTCACCAAAATTAAGAGAATTAAAGATATCATTACAAA